CAGCATGCTTGTATACAGTTTTTAGTAATTCATCCCGGAGTGCCTGAACGGTTATTTATTCTGCATATTTTAGAAAGTCAGGGCATTCTTACTTTGTACTGGGTGTCAAGAAGCCAGATAGTGGTGAAGGCATAGAATGTCATTAGTCATTCAAAATCTCTTTTCAGTTCAACACAGAACATGATTGCAGATGCCACAATTTGGTTGGATCATATCAGCTATGTTTTCACCTAATTTTTTTTTTTTTATTCTTTATTTTTGCAGGATTATGTATACAATTTTAGGTAAACATTGTAAAGGATAAAACAAGATAAAGCAATGGTGTAACATACAATATCAGGAAAAAGTGCACTGTTTTTTTATATTTATACATGGTGGATCAGTACGTGTCAAGCGATTTTCAGATGAGCTAGTTACAATTTAGTTAAGCCTAGTGACAACATTATAACGATTAATGATATGGTGTCCACCAGCATTATTAATCCTAAGATTTGGTCAGGCTAAGTAACTGGTGGAGTGTAAAGATTAGGTAAAACCAAGAAGTATGCATGCTGATTAGGTCAGGATATAATTATATGCGAGTAGTAATAGCAAGAGTTGTGGTTACTAGCGCTTAGGTAGTTGATCAGACTGGCTACAATGAATGCTTGCTTGTTTTTTTTTGTTTTTGTTTTTTAAAAGGTTGCACATTTTATTTTATATTGTTTAGAGTAAGCGAAAAATAGCCTTGGCATGGATGATGTTGGATGTCGTTCAGCATATGATCACCCTTAAACAACATTAAAACAATATGGGGATGACATGTTTCGGGTATGTAGCTGTAGTGCAGTGTGAGTGTAGCTGGGGTGGTTGTGGTGGGGGGGAGCGATAACTGGCGGCTTGGGCATAAGTACCACAGTTTCGTCTTAACCTATAATGTTTCACTGTGAATAAGTTAGCCAAAGAGTTTTCTATGCTGGTGTGAGTGGTGCTGTGTTGTGTGGTAGGCGGGTTTTGCCCTGTGAAGCTTTGTGTGGTGTGGACCTCGTTGTGTGTGCTGTTTGTATGGTGTCAGTCTATAACAAGTAAGTCAGTGCCCTCGTTGGTGTTGTTTAAAGATCCCCTGTTACCCGGGGGAGGGTGGGGAGATTTCGAATGGCTTTACATAAGTGGCTATAACGTGCCCTTGATTGCCGGCACTAGTGTGAGTTCTGCCATAAAATGTCGGCATTAACCTTTTAACATATATACATCGTAACTGGTTCGGGAGTCCAGGGGGTGCAGCGGGTGATGCTGCTTAAAGTAAACTGGTCTGGATACCAGGTAGCTTCAGGACTGCGTCAGGCATTGGTTGCCGCGGTGATCGCCGTTTCGGCTCTTCTAGGGACGAATGGGATCACTGTTGCGGGATTCCAAGCGGTGCTGTGTGCCAGCGTGGTTCTGTTCTCCGGTGGAGGATGAGCGAGCAGGGGAAGTCCCAGGGTCGGTAGCAGTTCATTTGCCTCTTGTAAGTCCCGGATGGTAGAGGTCGCATTCCCGTGGTGGATTAACAGTGTGCGCGAACCTCTCCAATGGTAGGTGATTTTATGTTGGCGTAGGAGGGCTGTAAAGGGTTGAAGTGTGCGTCTCCACGCCAGGGTGGGCCCCGACAAGTCCGCGTAAAAAGATAGCTGCATATTTTCAAACGGATACGGTGATTGGTTCTGCGTAGCCTGCATTACCGCCACCTTGTCTCCGTGATTTTGGAAGCAAGCCAGGAGGTCTCATGGGGCCTTTGGTGGGGCCTTGGCTGCTCGTGGTAGGCGAAATACATTTTCGATGGGTACCTGTCTGGCTTGCTTGTGAGGTAAAAGTGACTGCATTAGTCTCCGCAATGTGTGTGGGAGTTCAGACTCCGGTATCTCCTCTCCTATGCCTCGGATTTTTATGTTCCGGCAGCGACTCCGATCCTCTAAGGCTGCTATGCGTTGCTCATATGTGGATTGCTGTAATTTGATCTCCTGGACCGTTTGTTGTAGGGCTTGAGTGTGTTGTTTGGTGCACTGGGAGTCTGCCTCCAGTGTGCCCAGCCGGCCCGTTAGGCCTTGTAGGTCCTTGCGCAGTTGGGCCATGTCGGCCTGTATGGTTAGTCGGAGATCTGCTAGGAGGTCTTTCATGACAGTAACTGTCACTGGTGAGGAGTCTGCTTGCGGGGGTGACTTGTGAGGTGGTATTTCCTCATGTGGGTGCTCCATTTCAATCTCTGTGGTGAAATCATCAGAGATATCCGAGCTGTAGTCGTTGTAAGCGGCCATGTTGGGGCCTTGGGCGCTAAGCGCCTGCTTCCACATGTCGCCAATGCTGTGGTGCTGCCGCGGGTTGTTGGGCTTAGATTTTTTTAGTTTTGTGGCCCATATCGTTGGTGGATGCCTGCAGGTCGTTTTGGCACTGGTTTCGTTGGGCTGGGTTCGTGTTAGCTGGTCCAAACTACTCTTTTGCAGCGGAGCTCGCTTGGCATGCGGCCATTCAGGTCAGTTGCTGGGCTCCGCCCCCCCTGTTTTCACCTAATTTACTAAACTGTCAACAGCCACTTGTCATGGAACATTGCACTGCACAGTTTACGGTCAGTAAAAATAAAATATTATAAATTCTGTAACTCCTCATCTGACTTACTTGCAATAACATGATGCACACATACTTGACCATATTCTACAAGCTGAAACAGGAGCAATGTAACACAGTTAAAGAGACTACCTAGCACAAATATAACCCTATCCTATTTAAAGCATTATATATTCGTGCATTATATAGACAATGCAGAAAGAAGAATAAACACATGGCGCACTGCTTACCAAGCCTGCCCAATGCTGCAGGTAGAATCCTCCCACACCCACGGAGAGACATTTCAAAAAGGAATCTCATTGTGATATATTGGAAATAAAACATTCCTATAATCTTCTGTGCAGCAGACGATTGTGAGAAGAGTAGTATATACAAAATAAGTAGCCCCAACCATCACACAGGATGATTGGAAATGCTCTTTAAATTGATAGCGGTCATATTGCTATTATATGTTGTTCATGGTTTATTGAACATGACTGTGCTTCAGCCTCCCTGTCACAGGGACCTCTTTCAAGGGCTCTATTTAACCTTGACCTGCAGAGAGTGCCAGGAGGTAGAATTTCCCAAGTAAGTGGATTAATCTCATAAGGGTAAGCAGTAGGCTGCTAGAGTAGGATCTGCCAAGAATGGGGTACATTGACATTGTGGCAGGCTTATGCAATTTATGATTATATACTGTAACTAAATCCCCATTATTTTTTGCCTAGGTGAGGTGTTTTTAAATAAAACTACTACATTATGTGAGACCTGAAATTGCCAATTAGTGAATGAGCAAGTGCGCTGGATCTTGCATGTTGTGCTTCAGCATTGACTGAGTCCTTGACCTCATTCTGTGGGGAAAATAGACACCATTACCAAGAATTACGTTTTATGGGCTACCTGATTACTGCTGTCCACAGCCCACAGCTCTAAGCACCATTTACTGATGCAAAGTGCTAATGGTACTTAAATTGATCCTTTAATACAGTCATCAAGGATTCTCTAGGTGGACAGACAGAAGCCTTACAATATTAGCAAAATTGGTGCTTTGTGATGTTTGTTTATGCTTTCAAAATCTTAAGGAACAGGTTGACATACTTCAGCGGAACTTTTCCGATACTAGCAAACCCACACATTAGGAAAAATAACAACATAAAGGCAGTTTTGCCTTTGCTCATGTTCCCCTGGAACGATTTGTTCCATTTACTAATTCTGCCTTCTGGCAAGTTCTTCTCAACTTTGTTGATTCAAGACCCTGGCAAAAAGGGACCTAGACCACACAGTTTCTCAAGAGATGCAGAAATAAAAAAAATGTCCACGCTCATTACTTAAACAAGGATTAAATAAAATGGTTACAAGATGCAGGCAGATTTAAAACATCGTTTACATTTATACTCAGGACTTCCCAATGAAGTTCAATGAGGAGAAATTGCTGCAGAATCATGTTTATGATTAGAGTCAAAAGAACTGTATTTTTGCATTGTAATATTCCGTAGATAAACTGAATTTTCAGTTCGGTCCGTTCTAGAATCTAGCATTTTTTTTTTGCTGACTGATTTAAAAATGCTTTAAGTGCAAAAAAAAAAAAAAATCATAAAATATATCATAGTTTGTTTTTAATTGATGCAGCAAGCATTAATGAAAATGATTGCATGTAAATATTTATTCCATCAGAAAGCGCAACTTAAATAAATGGTCAATCGGTTCAAGAGGAGGTCTGCTTGAGTGTATGTGAATTAAATTTGTTGAACTGCTGCCATAGTATGTGCCTCTTACACATAATGACAAGGTAATTGTTGTGTGTAACTCCAGGGAACGCCTTCTGAGTTTGCATTGCTTGGCTGGCTGTTGGAGTGAGTTGAAGCATAAAATTGCAGGCCAGTGTTAGTAAAGATAAGCAAACTGCACCATGGAGAGGAGAACCCGGTTAATGTTTAATTGTTGGGAGTTTCCTGGGTAAATACAAGTAAAAGCTAATGGCAGGGATATGGATATTATTCATGGACGTCCAGGTCTGCAGAATTGTTAAATATTTACTTTATACAACAGTGGCATAAGTTCATTAAACAATTTCACATCTTGTGTTCGTTAATGGCATAAGCAGGCAATTTGAAGCAGGGTTAACTGGATAAAAGCTCTATACACCATGTATGATGATGAGTATTCAGTAAATGCCTATTAAGAATCTATCATAAAGTGAGGTGGGGATAAGTATATAATATATATTTAAACCAATGCCAATATTTAATGTATGGAAAATAGCATATTTTTAACAAGAGTGCTGGGCGACAATCTGACTCCAAGTGGGCTCCTGATAACTTCTTAACTTTTATAGTTCATCACTGAAGTTATGCATTTAGTGACCCATTTTCACTAGAAGAAAAGAGATTTATAAGGATGTGGAATTCTCTGCCTGAAGAGGTGGTGTTATCAGAGTCTAGCAGCACAGCATGTTTCAACTGTTAAACAGTCTTCCTCAAGTGCAAAAGAGAAGAAGACTGTTTAACAGTTGAAACATGTTGTGCTGCTATATTGTGCTTTATTCTAATTTGTTTTAAAGTATATATTAATAAATGTTATTTTCATAGGTGTGCGCAGCCCTATTGCATTAGGGTGTGCACCCTAAAGCACAAGCACACGCCGCGTATATGTTATATATATATATACACACACACACACACATATATATATATATATATATATATATATATATATATATATATATATATATATATATACACACACACATACACTGCTGTGTGTGTGTGCTGTGTGAGGGTGCTGTTAGTGTGATGTGTGTGTAAGGGTACTGGTAGTGTGCTATGTGGGTGAGGGTGTTTGTGTGCGCGCGCTTGTGAGGGTGCTGTTAATGTACTGTGTGTGTGTGCGCTTGTGAGGGTGCTGTTAATGTACTGTGTGTAAGGGTGCTGTTTGTGTGTGTGTTTGTTAGGGTCCAGTTTGTGTTTGTGAGGGTACTGTTAGTGTGCTGTGTGTGTGTGCTGTATGTGTGTGGTGTATGTGTGTAGGTGCTGTGTATATCTGTGGGTGCTGTGTATGTCTGTGGGTGCTGTATGTGTGTGGGTACATTACTTAATATCCCCCCTCCCTTCTTACTTTATGTAGGGAGGGGGGATTCTTGTTCCTTGCTGCCTTCCCTGGTGGTCCAGTGGAGGTGGGGACAGATTTCTTAATATCCCCCCTTCTTACCTTATGTAGGGACTGGGGATCCTTCCTTGCTGCCTTCCCTGGTGGTCCAGTGGTGAGTGAACTCTAGCCTGCGGGGCTAGAGTTCACTCTCGCGAGAGGAACCCGGCGGAGCTGCTGGCAATAGCTCCCCGGGTCCTCTCCTGCCTCCCTCCCTGCATGTGGGTCGGTGGGGAGGGAGGCTGAGAGCAGATGGTGCCGGATAGTGCCGGCTCTGCATGAACCGACAGGGGAGATCCTGAGATCTCCCCTGCCGGTCTCACTCCATAGGCGTGCCGCAGGGATTAGGTTGTGCCCAGGCACACCCCGTGCGCACACCTATGGTTATTTTAACTTTATTATTTTGGTTCCTGATATTTTATGCTGCTACCATCCAGCTACCTTTGAGACCTCAATTTACCTGAAGCAAGGTGTGACTGCAAGTCTCTTTTCTGGGTGATTTTCACAGTGAGAAGCATGGAAACGACTCTAGCAGTTGTCAATGAGACAGCCATTAGAGGCTGGATTAACCCTAGTGTAAAACATAGCAGTTGCAGCTGCAGGTTTACCCTAGATGGACCTGGCACCCCTGCCTATAGTGGTCCTTTAATTTTGCTGTGTGTTTATAAAAAAACTGCAAAATTACCTTTTCAGCATTAAGGGATCTGGGTATATGCACCCATTTTGCTCTATTGTGGTTTCTGTTACTGGAGAGTGTGTTTTGACTGGACTTTTTTTCCCTGACTACTCTGACCTCTGACTTTGCTCTGTTGTCCTGCTACTTTTGATCTTGACCTTTTCCTGAGTATTCTTGTCTGTTATTATTGCAGACTGTATTATAAATTTGAAAACATTAAGCCCGGCCACCATAGGGACTGGTAACATGTTTTCCTGTAGTATAGGATACTACTTTGCTTGAGGTTTGGGTACTTGACAAAAATTAGCTGGCATGTCTACTTGTTCATTCTTAGAACATTATATCATCTTGAATTGTATAGAAGCATAAAGGAAACATTTATTTTTCTTCTACATGTGTAATAGAAGTATAGTCTAAAATAAGTTTTCTTCCTAAATGTTTTGATGAACCTCCTAGTGCTAAATGTTTGATAGCTTGTGACTTTTAGTAGATGCACATACACAATCTAACTAGATATCCAAATCTATCTATTGTACGTTACCAATTCTAAGGCTGGGTACATGTATATTTACACACCATTATATTATTAAACTATCTAAAAGTTACAGATAAAATATAAACGGTTTCCTGCACAGTGGAAAAAAGCTACAAAACTATTTTGTTAGTTCCTCTTTATGTGCTCTTAGTGATTGATCAAATTGTTAAACTGTCTTTATATACTCAAAACAGTCTTATAACTGGAAATGCTGGTCTATCAAGAGATGAAAGGTAGGTAGTATCATATTGGAAAAAAAGGCTTTTCCCTGAAAAACAGCTGACCAAAATAACTTCTACTCAGTAAATGAGTTGCAATTTCTAACAATGTAGAAAGTTTGATTTTGGTGCTAAAATAGCGTGTGTTATGTGAATGATGTGCACATAAGATGCATTACTGAACAAACTGTATATCGTTCCAAGTGAATAGTTTTGAAATATATCATTAATTTCAATATATGGTACTCTGATCACCGACATCCCTTAAGAATTGTCCTCAAATTTATACGGAGTTAAACAAACCGATTATTTGTTTTGTTATATATTTGGTAGATGTGATGACTTAATCCTTCCTTTGTGGAGTGAGGACAGTAACACGTTGCCGACAGGTTAAATACTGTACACATGAATGAAACTATTTAATAAGAAATTGTACAAGCTGAACCCAGACTGCAATATTTTAATAAAATATATCACTACAAATAACGCAATTGTGTAGTTTATGGAGCATTCTCTTGTATTCAGGAGAGGTAGCAAAGTAACAAAATCATTTTGCATCTTCATTATAGAAGAATTAATTTTACAAAGTAATTAAAACCTACAATCCCAATTAAAAACAGACGGTCACATTTATAGCAAGTCTGTATAGGCACAAATATTAATGTGAATTCATGATTAACCATAATTTGCCAAAAGTACAGTTTTGGGTGCTGAATTTACAAAAAGAGGGCACACCAACACATGAAAACAACAAACTCCCCCCAAAAGTCAGGGAGAAACTAGTAAAATATGTTAGCAACTATTTGGTGTTTAACCTGTAAGAATTTTAAAACTCATAACTGGTGTTTTGACTGGCAAAATATGTTTATGTACACACACATTCTCCTTTGAAAACTATTGCAGAAACAATACCCAAAGTAATGTGCATTGCACGTGAGTTCTGTATGAAGAAAACTTTTGTGTACTTAGACACTCTAGAAATTAGCATCACAATTCACAGGACCACGACAAACAAACAAACCTGCAGTAATTGGTGTTGCGCAATAACAGTGTTCTATTGCAATAGAACTCCGTAATATGAGATAAGAATAAGGCTATATCTGGGCTCTGTGGAAATATAGGTTGTATTGCTGTGGAGTGCTAGGATATTCTCATTGAGACATGATGGTTATTACGAAGGAGTTCTGTCAGTTGCAATCTTTCACATTCCATTTCCATATATGCATTTTGTTTGCATAATAGGAGTGTCATTCTTTTAACTCTAACTGGCATATTCTGCATTGTGCAGGCTCTCACCAGGTTGATGAAGGAAACCATTGAGAAGTAGAACAATAAATTCCCACTGCGCTCACAGGATGAATACAAGAGCTATAGTGAGCCATGGGTTTGACATTCCTCTGCTAAAAGATGCACTTACCTGAAAGATCCTGCCGGTCTCTTCTAAGATAGTTTACGGAAAATTCATGTCGGTGATATGACATGCTGATGCCTGACCCTAGAAGATGGCATTTGCATGATTTAGGGGCAATAAGACATTCATTAACATCTATATTGTCCTTTTTTTCTCCATAGAGACAAGCACTCCATTCAGCACTGGAAGCTCAATGATAAAACAACATATTTATGGTTTTATTCCTTTCATTTGTATATATAGTTTTGTTTATTGTCATGAAAACCCTTGTGAATAAGAGTGGTGTGCCATGTGTATTCTGGATCATGCGCGTTCTTTTTATTTGAGATCATTTGTTTGTTTTTAATTTATGAAGTTATAATAAATGCCAATTGCTCAATAAATAAATAAATCCTTGTGAATAAAATAGAGAGGTTCCTCAGATTTTAACGCATTTCCTTGTAACTAAAAGTGCTATTTCACCTACTATTTGAAACACAATGATTCGTAACTATATAGTAATAAGAAAAACTCTCTCAAGTATGCTTTCGTGTCTAAACCCTGTCTAGAAATAATGCTGTAATAGCGCTGACACACAAAATAAATTTTTAAATGGTGATTATGTTTTCTGAATATTTTACACATTAGCCAAGTGAAGTTTTTAAAACAAATAATTTTAAGTGCACTAGTCTTATAGCTAGTTAAGTAATAATTAGATAATTATATATAACCATTTTCTTTTAACTAAAACTTCATCCCTGAATGTGTGGTTGGCTAATACGAATCCCAGAATGCCTATCATGGTCAATCACCTGTCATAGTAGCATGAAAGCTTCTTAAATATTTAAACTGTTTTCATGTGTAAAATTCTTGAGTGATCTGTCTAATATACTAGAGAACATAGTTGATTTTTTGTCTAGATGGTTTAGCATCTTTTAAAGTGAATCAGTTATGAAATAACAGCTCGTCTGTGACAAACTTTGAACATATAATTAGTTGTGATCAATATCACACAATGTGAAAGAATATTAGTTAAAATGTCAGTAATAGATTAAAGGACACTCGGGGCACAACATTTGTAGAAATGCACCCAGTTAAAGCACCATAACCCCTACAGCTTATTGATATCACGGTACTAAAAGTTGTGTCAGTTCTTACCGTTGTTTTATTTTTAACGGAATAGGCCTGGTTTTTATTTTTACCTTGTGCAATAAATAGCGTGTTTACTTTCCCCCTCTGACTTATTTATTCAATTAACCCCTTAAGGACCAAACTTCTGGAATAAAAGGAAATCATGACATGTAACACATGTCATGTGTCCTTAAGGGGTTAAAGGGACACTATAGTCACCAAAACAACGTTAGCTTAATGAAGCAGTTTTTGTGTATAGATCATGTCCCTTCCTCACTGCTCAATTTTCTGCCATTTAGGAGCTAAAACGCTTTGTTTATGCACCCTAGTCACACCTCCCTGCATGTGACTTACACAGCCTTCCTAAACACTTCCTGTAAAGAGTCATCTAATCTTCATACTTCCCTTATTGCAAATTGTGTTTACTTTAAAA